ATCTTATGTATATCTGCTCTTATTTGCAAAACATAATATTAATTTCAAATAATAGTAATCAAATAATCAAAATAAACAAAAAAATCAAGTCCTCAAACAGTAACTCTTACAAATACAAATTATACAATTTCATATTTGTGATCCATCATATCAAAATGAGGATTAAGTCAAATTTGTTCAAAATGACCTAATTACATTTTCAGATTCCTGCTTTAAAAGCTACATTTTGATACCTGGATCATCCTGATGTCATCAGTTTATCCACAGATATGAACTAATTTGTCTTGTTGGTAATGATAATACATTACTGTTTGGTCTGAATCCTAATGTTATGTAAATTTATTGAGTCATTTTTATGTTAATATAAAGAGGAAACCTCAAATATTATTTGTAAATTGAGATTTCCCAGTTGTAAAGAAACCAAAACATTGCAGCTCACAGGGAAAAATTACAAATTAGGTTTTTTGTTGGTTCTGCTAAAAAAAAAAAAACTTCAAATTGTTTTTTAGGAGTATATTTAAGACAGTTCATTCAATTAATACATTAATAAGGCATTAATTCATTATATTTTGACAAAATGCAATTTTTGTGCTTGTTTAAATCTAAACCCTCTATCTTCCTGTTTCTCAACTTTTGGACTTAATCCTGTTTTCGATGTGACGGCTCACGTTTCTTTAGCAATTGAACTTTTGTAATTGTCTTAAACAAATGATGGCAAACTATCAGAGGACCACATATTCCTGCACGTTTACCCAAATGTTTGTGTATAAATATATTTATTAAAGCAACGTACAGTGCAGGAGTGGAACATATTTCAGGCTCAGGTACATGTACAACTGTACTCATCGTCGGGTCGGACAGACGTTGGCCCGCGGGCCACCAGTTTCCCATCCCTGTTCTGGATTGATTTAATGTGTTTTTAAAGTTCTGACTCGGTGAGTGGTTGGTAACACCGGGGACCCCCCTCAGATGAACTCACACACATGTTCACATGAAGGAGGAGGTAAAGTCGTATTTGTAGTTATGCAACTTTGGAAACAGACAAAAAGACATGTTGACAACCTGACTTCTGTTCTGCACTAATGCCCCCCCCCCCCCCCCACACACACACACACTTTTACCCCTTCCTGTTTCACTTCCTCTGTGTAGAAGTGTATAAATGTACCACACCTTTCACACCATTCCATCTGTGATCTTAATTATGGAGACATGTTTTGTTTGCTAAAAACTAACTTTTCAAAGCAGGAGATAAAAGAAAAGTGACACCTGGGTCAGGTAGCGTTCTCTACATGACTGATGATGTTTAGAAACAACAAAATTTAAAAAATGATGATTATTTTCCCTTTGACCTTTTATTTTAAACCACAAAAACCTTCAAATGTAACTTTACTTAATGAAAGAGCTCCAGATCCTGATGCTCAGTGACTCGAAGCTTTCTCTGCTCCACGTTCTTCCAGCTTTTTCTTTTCAAAACAAACAAAACCACCTGCAGGGAACATCAGCTGCTCTGCCTCCATTTAAACAAAAGATTTGAAGACTTGAGTCAACATTTGGATCAGAGACTCTGCATCATACAAACAGGACTTTTGATCATAGATGCATCAAAGCAGCACTTCTGCTGCTGAACGAAGAACTAAATGAACTGTTTCTGCTGCTCAATGTGGAGCATTTGTTGCAATAAAAAATCTGGACTTTATTTTGACAAAAAAAAGGAGAAACAGCTTGTTGATTTGTACCAGTTTGTTATTAAAGAAATGGGGATTGGATCAAAGGGATAAGAAGTGGAATTTGTCCTCAGATCATCAGAAGCTGCTGATGTGAATTAAACTTATCAATAAAACATCACAATGTCTCTATTCCCATCAGAACGGTCACTCCTAATGAGGACTAATCAGTGTTTTATCAGTGAATCTTATATTTAAACAGATCAACCTCAGTCTAAGTCAGTGTTTCACACCATCAGGTGGTGGTTTGTAGCTGTTAAACACAAACTTACTTCATTTAAAACAGCTCAAAGCCACCACTAAACAACCGCTGTGCTGTGGCTTTTTACATCACTTTACTTTGCATCACATAGTTCCTCTGTGTTTAACACAGTCTGTTTTACAACACGTTTCACATGAACACGTGTTGCAACAAACCTCAGATCTGTTCCAACCTGAGCCGTATTCAGCGTAAACAACCACCTGATGCAAACGTGTTGTGATCCTAAACGACAGGATTCAGTAAAATGTTTGATGTTTGAGCTGAAGTGACTCCTCCCTAAGAGTTAGTGTTGTTTCTTTTACACCGCAGAGCACATCGTGTAAACCAGGGCTATTCAACTGGTGGCCCGCTGGCCACATCTGGCCCACAAGTGACCAAAGTTCGGCCCACCAATTGTTTCATTCACCTCTTAAGCTCAAACCCCTGGTTTACTTTAATTACTCTGAGTTGTTTTAGTTAAACACAGACATGTTTGTATCTACAGAAACATCAGAATCTTGGCTACAAGCTGGTAAAAACATTTCTATGAACACTGAAGACAGTTAAAACTACAAGCAGGTGAAGACAAAACTATGAAAGTCAAAATAAAATTGGTTTAAACATTTGCCAAGTCAGAGATGTTAAAATATTATTTGAGTTAAATATGAGGCAGAATGTGTTCTTTTAGTTTTTGATAATGTTTAATTATCACTACTTTTATAGGGTTCTGTGTGTTGTTTTCATGATTAAATCCAGCAAAAAAAAACTAATTCAAAGGTAACAGATCTTTGTAATACTTGGTTTATTTACAGAATGATTTTAATTGCTGGATGTTCCTCAGCTGTTGACCTGCAGTAACTGTGGCCTCTGGAGGGATTTAGTGGAATAGCTCTGGTGAAAATGATGTCGTTCACTAGGTTCTCCACCTGTGCAAAGCTGTGAGCTTTATTCACCTGAGCTAATCTGGATTAGCACCTACATATTAGCTTGGGCACTAATGCGTAAGTTGAAAGGCTAAAGATGAGGTTGTTGTCCTCCATCATCATTTTCAGTTTGAGTTTGAGTTATTTCCACGTCACCTGTCTGTCAGCTGGTTTCATTTAAAAGAGTTAAATGTCAGATATTGTGAAAAATGACCCTTCAGGAGGACACAGCTCACAGCCTCGCACCAGAACTGTGGTTGCCAACTGTCCCGTATTTTCAGCCATATTGAACAGTCCCCAAACCTCTAACCCCAAACCCCAAACCTCTAACCTCTAACCCCTAACCCCAAACCCCAACCTCTAACCTCTAACCCCTAACCTCTAACCTCTAACCTCTAACCCCAAACCCCAACCTCTAACCTCTAACCCCTAACCTCTAACCTCTAACCTCTAACCCCAAACCCCAACCTCTAACCTCTAACCCCTAACCTCTAACCTCTAACCCCTAACCCCTAACTGTAACAAACACAAGAATATTTTGTTTCTGGTTTTTATTTACAGAGTAAAAAATGTTTTTGCTTTAGATATTTACCTGTCAGTAAAGTCCAGA